TGGACTCTTGCCATTTGCAAAAACATGAGGGTATAATGTTAAGTGAAATAAGTCAGTCAGAGAAAGACAAATACCATATGATTTCACTCATATGTAGAAATTGGGAAACAAAGGAAACAAAGAAAAAAGAAGCAAACAAAAAAACCAGACTCTTAAATACAGAGAACTGTTAGTTGCCAGAGGGGACTGCGTAGGGGGATGGGGGAAATAGGTAAAGGGGATTAAAGAGTACACTTAGGATGATGAGAATTGAGTAATGTATAGAATTGTTGAATCATTATATTGTACACCTGAAACTAATATAACACTGTATGTTAATCATATTTGAATTAAAAAAAAAAAAAAAACACAACTGGGACACCTCCGCTGATCACCTCATCTTTCTTAGAGAAAAATAAAAAAAAGATGCTTTGTGCACAAAAAGATGCTGAGCTGACTCCCCAGGCCATGGCGTAATGGGACATCTAGTCAAAGATGGCATTTGAGGCATTTGCTGGGAATGCAAACTCCTCTTGCTGCCAGTAGGTATTTGTCAAAAGAGAAATCCTGTTCTGGATTGTGGGAAGCACACAGTTCATCCATCTTAACAGTTTCTCAAAGATGTCATTTTAACTTTTGTTCCCTTCCCCCATTTTTTTAAATTGATGTGATATATCTTCGTGTAACCTTATGTGATATAAATAAATAAATGTACCTCGCCCTAAACTGAAGGACAGTGTCATCCATTGCAAAACTCTATTCTATATAAACAGAAGTCCCATTAACATTCTATCTTTCATAAATGGTGCATCCTAGAGCACAACTCCATATGTATAAAGCATGCACATTACCATCAGTTGAAGGGAGAATGCAGCCAGTCCTGGTCCAGAAATTTTTATTCTTATATAACCTTTAACAACATCATGCACACCATGCACCTTCAAGATTCTGAATTAGGATTGAAGTTCTATTAGTTAATCTTATCCCTTATCCTCCCTTTGTATGACATGATGAAATAGTAGGTATATCTTGTTTAAGCCATTAAATATTTCAAAGACCTCAGTGTGTTCCATGGTCTAATAATTCTGAATTACACATGGCAATCAATTTCATCTCTGTTGGAATAGGATGAGACAATTCCTAGAAAAGGAAACAGATGGCTCTGATTGGTCTTGATTAGTCTTTGTGCCTGGCCAAATGGACCCAGCTCCTTGTATCTCACTTTTCATCTATATAAAATGGAACTAAAATGTCAGACCCAAAGTTATCCTAGTAAAGGACCACTATGTGAAGCATTCTCTGATTCCTTCCTTAATCTGGATAAGCATAGATAAGTGCCATCCGTGGTGGTGGGATATTGTTTGTTGTTTTTCAGGCATGTTGCTGAGGGACGGGAGGTTTCTCTCCTTCTCTCTCTCTCTCTCTCTCTTTAGATATTTATTTGTTATTTATTTATTTATTTATTTGACAGAGGAAGGGAGAGAGAACAAGCAGGGGAAGCAGCAAGCAGAGGGAGAGGGAGAAGCAGGCTTTCTTCCTACCTGGAAACCCCATGAGGGGCTCGATCCCAGGACTCCAGGATCATGACCTGAGCCAAAGCCAAAAAGTCAACTAACTGACGCACCCAGGAAAGCTTTCTCTAAATTCGAGGGATTTTCTGGTTAGCCCCTTCACCTTACACACATGAGAGCCATGTCTGTGCTCACTGTTAACTAAAATAGAAAAATGTGTGCCAATAACATAAGCAATTTCTCTCCCATCTCATTCTCTATATCAGTTGTTCAAATATTAAATAAACAAGGTTTGTGATTATTTGAAAAAAGCTTATCATGCTTTTTTTGCCCGGCATATGTCACAGAGCTTTTGTGCTAATCAGCAGTTAGACGTCATTTTCACAATCAACTAAAATAAAGGGGAGGTGTTCATTCTTAATCTTGCCCTGTCAAATACTTCTATTTATTCACTACTTACCCATTAGATAACTTTTCTTCAAAGGCATTAAGGTGACTAAATTATGGATTCCATATTCTCAAGCAATAGAATATTCACTTATCACACAGAATACTTCAACTATTTTTTCAGAATGTTTCATTTTTTATTTTAAACTGAGCTTCTCTCAGTGTGGACTAATAGCATTTTTGTATTTTTCAAGCAAAAGCTTAAACACACACATTACATAAGTTTACTAAACTAACTAAAACCAAATAGACAATTTTAAACATCAGAAATTGTATAATCAAACAACAGTTTACATGAAGACTGCAAGAATTCAACACAGAGTTAAGACCTTTTCAATAGAATGATATAAGTAAAATCTATTTGTACATGGCTGTTTGTGTATTTATTCTACTTAGTACCTAAGACATAAAAAGCAAGTCTGAGACATACAGTTTGGGTTTTCTATATGCTAATATGAAGGCAACAAACTAGAAATAATGACACAACGATTTATCCAATGACTTAGAAAGCCAAGGTGAAACTGAACTGAGTTCTATCTAATCCCCCACATACTGTACTAGGACCCCTACCCATAACTTGCTGTGGCCAACACAGTGATGTCAGTCCATCTTTTCCAATAGTCCTCTCCAAGATTCTGAGACAGCCCCAGGTGAATCTGTGGTTGGGATGACACAGGAGACAGATGAATTACTCAGCTCTCTCCCACTCTGTGTCCAAAGAATGTCAAACTACAGCTCCTGGGTTGATGAAAACAGGTGAGGTTTCAAATCCACATGACTGCAACTGGATGTGTTTGTGGCCAAATATCCACTTGACTCTTTGTCCATCATGTTAGATGTAGAAGTTACTCTAAACTTAAAATTTGAATTAAAAAAAAAAGTACTGAGGATTCATAAAAGAATTTTGTGAATAATAAAGAAAATCAATAAAATATTTCCAAGAAATTTGAAAGATACTGCAATAAATTCCAAGAGATCTGAAGCCCACCAGCAAAGGATTGCCCAAAGGTACATCATTCAAAATGCAATGGAGACATAAAAGAACAAACAAAACTGTATTTTGGACAACTTACTACTATTGGTTACTGGAGTAGGTTTCTAAATTTATGTTTTTTAAACTGATAGCTATGAATTACTGTTTCTAATAACTCTGGGGGCCAAGGAATAAATTGTCATTCACTAAAATTAGAAAGGGAGCTTACTGTCTCCCACCCAAAAGAGATTTTTTTCCCTTCCATATACTTTTACAAGGTATTTTGTAGCTCAATAATTGAGAAATTGAGTCATGCCCATCAAACAAAGCAAGCTACACCTGCAGGAACACTCACTCTTTTTCACACCTAACACTGCACTATAAGAAACAAGTATTTCTATAAATTTTCATTCTTGTTTGGAATTAATCCCAGAGAAAAACTATCCCTTTGAAACATTGTAATCAAGGGCTATAGTTTGGTTAAGCCTTTGCCCTCATGTCTGAGGTGTAAACTGCAAATGGTTGGGTAAATCTAAGCCTCTGTCCTCTCTTAATCCATTTTTGTCTTCCATAAGAGAAGATAAAAATAAAGACAGGGTGCTGGCCGGGCTCCCTCGTGATTACAGTACTAGATTATTTACCAGGTTCACCTGACTAGCACTAAGGAATAAAGCATAGGTAATTGATAGCTCCCTGTGGAAAGGAATCCAATAGAGAAAAATACGAAGATGTCAGTCATTTCAGCTTCCTGGTTCTCCCTCAAGCAAAAGGGATGAAGAATATGAGGAGAAAGGGATCGAAGGAACGGATACACATTTCACTTTTTAATCTCATTTTGTCCTCAGAAACTTGTGAGATTAGGACATATGTATTTATAAACTCAGTCCTGAAAAATAACGTTCGCACAAAGAATTGCAACGAACTGGTCCAAGTGGTATGAAAGGTCGCCTGGGGCAAAGGGACGTAGCAGTACTGGACTCAATTGTGGAAAGCAGAGAAGATAGGTAACCCAGAGGTGCAAATTGCCTTTTTGGTAGGTGCGGAGTTCTATTCTCAGGCGCTCGGCGCGGAACAGCAGGCCCCGCAAGGGGACGCCACAACAGCGCTCCTGGGAGCCTCGCGGCTCGGGGCCGCTCAGAGCAGGGCGAGCCAAGTTCCCCCAAAGTCTGAGAGTCATGGAGCGTTTTCGAGAAAGAGTAGGAGTAGGGAAAAAAGGAAACGCAGAGATAAAAGGAGCTAAAACGGGAAGAGGGAATTATCACAGTTCTCATCACCATTGTAGGTAGTTACAGCCAAGCTCCAACCTCCTTTACCCAATCCCACGCCTCCTCTAGACACACACGCACGCACATACACCCGCACGCTCCGCGAGACCCCCGCTACTCAGAGCGGTGGGCGCCGAACACAGGAGACTTGACCTTTTCCCCAGCTATTAGAGCAAGCGAAGAAGTGCTAAAGGTCCTGGCCAGGCTGCTCACGGGTTTTGAGCAAAAGCGCAGGCAGTCGCTGCCGGAAACCGAAGTAGCAAGGGTGCAGGGCGAGCGCGGAGCCGACGCCTAGGGGCGCCCCCGGCATCCTCGGGACTCTTCTAGCCCCCATCCCCACCTCCGCCTCCGCCTCCCTGTATCCAGGGATAGCGCCGAGTGCTCCACCTAGGGCCTGAGTTGAGAACGCCCTGGGCGGGTGGAGAAGGGGGGAAGGGGCAGAGGGCTCCCAGCACCACTGCCGCCCTCTTCCTCCCTTCCCGACCTCCCTGTCAAATTCGGGGGTCAACTCGGTGCCCTTTGGCATTAGGGAGAGCTCCGCTTGCGTTCTCATTCTCAACAGTTCTCATACTTAGCGTGGTCCTGCATTATCTGGAGGGTTTGGTATATTCAAACTGAGGGAGCAGCCCTAGTGCGTCGGATTCCCTATGTTTGAGCCGGAGCCCCAGAATCTGGATCTTTAGCAAGTTTTCGGGGTCGGGGGCAGGAGCCTACAGCTCAGGAAGGCCTCCCGAGCGCCGCGGGCGCCTGCTCCCTCTGCACCGGCCGGAGCTGGAGCAGCCAGGACTGGGGCGCAGGGCGCGCGAAAGGGTGTGGGGAGGAGGGTTAAGCGGCAGCCCGGCAGGCCAGCAGCTGGCGAAGGCTCCTACGGAAGCTGTCGTCCAGGAAGGCATAAAGAAAGGGGTTGAGGCAGCTGTTGGCGTAACTCAAGCTGGTGATGAAGTAGGAGAGCGCGATGACAAGAGGCGTTTGAGGGAGGTCAGTAGTGAGCGCCACCACGGTGCTCAGGTGGTAGGGAGTCCAGCAGAGGAGGCACACGGCGAGGATAGCCACCACCAATAGAGTCACCCGCTTCTTAGCGCGATCCAGAGCCTTGGCTTGGCTGTCCAGCCGTATGGCGCGCAGTCGGCACAGCAGGATGCTGTAGAAAACGCAGATGGTGGACACCGGGATGGCGAAGCCGAGCACAAGCGTATAGAGGCGGCTCGCCCGCCACCAGAAGGCCTCTGGCTGCGGGAAGACCAGCACGCACTGGCGCCGGCCCTGCTCGTCGTCGAGCCGGGCGAAGACCGCGAAGGGCATCACGACCAGCGTCACGAGTCCCCACACGGCCAGGCTCACTGCGCGCGCGGCGCTATACGTGCGGCCAGCCACCCGGCGTGACTCGGCGGTGGCCAGCACTACCAGGTAGCGGTCGGCGCTCATGACCGTGAGGAAGTAGAGGCTGGAGAACGTGTTGTACTGGTCGATGGCCACGATGAGCTTGCACATGAGCTCCCCAAAGGGCCACCGCTGCAGCAGGAAGTCAGCGATGTTGATGGGCAGCACGAGCGTGAAGAGCTCGTCGGCGATGGCCAGGTTGAGGATAAACAGGTTGGTGACGGTCTTCATGCGGGGCGCCCGCAGCAGCACGTACAGCACTGCCGAGTTGCCTGCCAGCCCCACCGCGCAGATAACCGCGTAGACGACGGGCACCGCCACCGCCAGCGGCTGAGGCAGTGGCGGCAGCGGCGGCGGGCTCGATGCGTTGGGGCAGCCCAGCGCAGGGCTCAAGCACGACGTGTTGGCTGGCCCCAGCTCCGAAAATGACGCGTTGTGCATGCCGGCCAGGGCAGAGGGGCCGGCGACCCCGTTTCCTCCACCAATGCCCGGCGAGGCGCTGCAGTTCCCCCAGCCCGCGTCTGCGCGGACCTGCGCTCCAAGTCCTTCTGCCGCTTCCCCGGGGGAGGCCCGTTCCTGGCAGTCCTTTTAGCCCACAGTCGCCGCGGACTCCCGCGCTGCAAAACGGAATTGAAAGCACGGGTTATGATGATCGACGTGCGACTATACCGAGAGGTGCGGTTCCGAGGAGAGGGGAGGGGAAAGGAGGGGTGGCGCGGCGCCCCAAATCTGCCCCCATGTGATGGTTCTCTGCTACCTGTTGAAATCTTATTCTAACCAGTTGAATACATCGAACAAAGTCCTACAGAGTAAAGAGTCCTTACCCTTTATAGGAAAAATACAAACCCGTCTCTTCTTCTTTAAGACGCCCCTGGCCGACACGGGTCTCCTAGGTTCTGTGCTACCTCCTTAGTAGCAAGTTCAGTAGCAACCTCTATCTCACTCAGGAGCTCAGGGAAGGGGCTCCTTTTCTGGAGGGTCAGGAGAGGAGGCCGCCGGCTGCGGTGACCGCTGTGGCGGCAGCCAGCCGAAAGTCCCCTTCACTGCTTCTGCCCCAGGCGCCAGCTCGCGTCTCCACCGGTTCAGCTTGCGAGCCTGGAAGCTTGGGGATGGCGCAGCCGCAAGGGCTCTGCACTGACCCAACCGCCTTCCGCACCACCCCCACCCCACCCCAGCGGTGGGACAGAGAACCGCATTACTCATAAACCTTTTTTCCTTTCCATATGAACGTCATTCCACTTGAATTAATAAAAAAAAAAAAAAAAAAAAAAAAAACTCTCCTGTTAAGAATTAAATTTAAGAGAAACACAGCAAAGATATTGGTGGTGGTCTCTTTTAATAGAGCAATGCAGTTGAGGCTCCCATTCTATTTTTTAAAACACCATACCCCAAATGAGTGAATGTAATTTTAAATTTTAAGTTACTTTTATACTACCTAGCTAAACAGAAGGGAGAAATGAATGTAATTTTAAAATGCAAATCATCTGTTTTCTAATACTCTGGTCTTTACAGGATTATTAAATCGTTACTAACAAATAATGGTGGACAATTTGAGATACTTTAGTCTTTCTAAATAAACATATAAATAAAACTATTAACAAATAAACTGCTTCTGAAAGCCTTTTAGTGTACTACGACTTAGTGCATATTTCGTAAAACGTTCAGGTTGTTCAACACACTACACTGATTCTCACACACGTATTTCTGATTTTCCTGGTAAGAGAATTACCCGGCAGTGGTAGCAGTGTGGCCAAGCGAGGCAAAGCAGGGGCAGACATGAGTGGGGCAGATTTGGACTGCAATGTTCCTACCTCACAAAGCCAGAGTTCTTTGTCTAGAAAAAGGGGAACTCACCCTAGGCAACTCACCTTTGAGGACAGAGTGAAATTAACTCAATATGAGTTCTCTTCAGTTCCTATTTTCTTCCTCCACCTTCCCTTTGGGAGAGCAGCAAATTAAAACACAGGATTCTATCCTACTTCCCTCAAAAATTTTTCTTTCCCACAAAAGCAGGCGAAGTCCAAATAAAGTGCATTTTTTGTCCTTTATGAAGCATTTTTAGGGGAGAGGCCCTAAGATACTGAGGAGAGTGAAAGTGCCGTGGAAGAAGCCTCTGGGGGCAGAAATACAAATGTTTTCCTTTACCCATTCATTGTGTTTTTCCTGGAATCTTCATAATTCAGCTCCCCTGCAGTTTCACGCTTGGTATGAAGAAAGTAACAGGAAAGTCAGGCTATGTCCATGAGGTAAAATATATGAGAAAGCATCATATAACATTAAGCAAAACAAAAAAGAAAGTGTATACATGATATATGTATATATAATGTGTATATAATACACACAGATATGTATATCTGTGGGTATGTATGTATGTGTGTATACATACATATATATGTATATAATTATATAGTTGCTTAGTTTTCAAATATTTGGAGATTTTCCAGTTTTTTAAATCATTGATTTCTAGGACTAAGCTAGAATTACAATGTGAACAGAGTACATACTCAATATGATTTCAGTTCATGGGTAGCTGTTGAAACACTGCCCTGCAGTATATAGTTATTTTTCTAATTAGTTCATGTAAACCTGAAAATAATGTGTGTTCTGCATTTGTTGGGTGCCAAACTCTAGGTTATTTCAACTAGTCAAATTTACTATTATGTTCCTTACATCTTCTCTTTTATTGGCATTTTATCTGATTGCTTTATGAGTTACTGAGAGATACTGTTAAAAAATATCAGTGAATAATTACAGATTTCTCTGTGGCTTAACTTTGTTAATTTTTTACTGCATAATTTGATGCTGTTTTATTAGGTGCACACAGTTTAAGATGGCTATATTTTTCTGTGGAATGAACTCTTTTCTCATTATAAAGTATCCTTTAACTGGGTTACTACTTGTTGTACGTAGTTTCTTTTGTTTGGTAATATTAAAGTTATTTCTCTTAGTTGTATCATGGAATATCTTCTCTTAAATCTTTTTACTTTAAACATCTCTTTGTCCTTATGTCTAAAATATGTCCCTTATAAACATAATAAATGGTTTTTGATCCAATCTGACAATATTTGTTTATGAATTGGAATATTTAGTTCATAATGTATTTAATGTAGTCATTGGCAATATCTGGTATACCTACAATTTTATTTTTGTTCTGTTTCTCCTCCATTGTTTTCATCCTTTTTCCCCCTTTAATGTTCTTCTGGATTAAAATTTACTTTTTATTATTCAGTTTCCCATATTTCATTAACTTATTAGTTCTACATGCATTATTCAAATGGTTGAAATAAAAATTGGATATGAAATTCTAGATTTTCCATTTTTTTAACAGTTTAAATGACAGTACATTTTCATTTTGCATCTATTATTTCTATTGGAAAATTGGTTTCCAGTCTTACTGTAGCTCTTTTGAAGGTATTTTTCCTTTCTTCTGTAACTGTTCTTAAATTATGTCTTTGATTTCATCTTTTGGCAGGCAAATAAGATGAGCTAGGAGTGATTTTCTTTCCATTTATGTAGGTTTGGATTTTTAGAGTTTCTAAATCTGTAACTTGATCTTTTTTTGTATTCAGTTTTGGGAAAACCTTAGCATTTTCTCTTCAGTTTACTGCTTTGTCCTCTCCTCTCTCTTCCCTCCTACTAGGACTCCAGTTACATGTGTGTTAGACCTTCATGCTCTTTTTTGCATTTCCTACCCTTCTCCCATGCTCTACTTCAACCTGGTCCTTAAACCCTGGCCGCCGCTGCTGCGTTGTTGTTGTTGTTGTTCTTCTTCTTCTTCTTCTTTAAGATTGTATTTATTTATTTGACACAAAGAGAGAGAGAGAGAGAGGTCACAAGTAGGCAGAGAGGCAGGCAGAGGGGGAGGGGCAAGCAGGCCCCCTGCTGAGCTGAGAGCCTGATGCTGGGCTCAATCCCAGGATCCTGAGATCATGACCTGAACCAAGGCAGAGGCTTTACTCACTGAGCCAACCAGGTACCCCAAATCCTGGGGTTCTTGATTGGTCCCCAATGTCTTCAAATAGCTGTCAAGTTTTTTTCTCAATTTTTATGGTAGCTTATAACAGGAGGGTCTGTATGATACAGCTAATTCATCATAGCAGAAGTTAATATCTAAAGTTTTCTATACAGCACAATGCCAAATTAAAAAGTATATGTGTGTGTGTATTTTCATACACATAATTATGTAAGTATGTGTAATTATTAAAGCATGTACATCAAAATGTTAAAAATATTTTGGTAGGATATAAATATGGCAGTAATTTTTATTTTCTTTGCACTTTTCTGAATTTCCCAAACATTTTTATATACTTTTATATTAGTAAGAAAATAATATTTGTAAAAATCACTGGAGTAGTACTTTGCAATCATAAATACTGACTATTGAAAAGAAATTAAGAATATATAAGGAAGGTATTTCTTCCAGCACTTGTGAAATTATTACAAACACCATACACACACAGTGAATAAACAGATTTATAAAATACATTTTTAGAAACATACTTATATATCCTGAAGTTCACCCACAACATTGCCCCAAAAGAGATTTCCAATAACAATTTGTACTGCTTGAAGCAATTTTGTTTTTTAATAAGAAAATGTTAAATTCCAACTTCTTGTTTTAAAACATATGCAATTAAATATATGAATCTTGAGTCTTAAGAATATTAATATCTAATATAATCAGTATGTCTTAGTTTAGTGTTACTAAAACTTTCAAAATTGTTTTTCCTCAGCTCAGAAAAAAAGTGTATTCAAGACAGAAATGAAAAGGTGGAAACATCAAACTCATAGGACTTGTCATGGTGAATATTTTGTCCCTAAAATCAGCAATAGGATAAGGATGTCTTCTCTCCACACTTCTATTCAACCTTATATGGCAGGTTCTAGCCAGTATAATGAGGAAAGAAAAATAAAAAAGCATTCAGATCGGGGACAAAGAAGTCAAGCTGTCATTGTATGAAGATACCATAATTATCTATTAAGAAAATCTTATGGAATCTACAAAAACAACACTAGAACTAAAGGAATTTAGTAAGAATGCGGGATACCATTTAAAGACCTATTGTATTTTATATACTAATAATATATGAGCAGAAGTTTAAAATTTATTTAATTTTTTTTGATGTGCTATTTGTTTTAATACCAACAGTGAATATGCAATGTACACAGTAGATAGAAAGAATCAGCCCAGGAGAGTCAGGGAAAGCTGGGACAGGTGGTCATTCTTAGATGAGGACCTAGGGATATATCAGATGGAAAGTGATGGGAAGGAGAGTGCAAGTAAGTGAGGACATTGCAGACAGGGTACATGGGCTAACTAAGCCATGTGAAGTGATTGTATTCTGTGAATATAAAATGGATAAGGATGTTTTTTATTTTGGCCAAGGGTAGTATACAAAGATTTCTGTTAAATACATCATTTTAATACAAACATCAGGAGG